AAAGAAGGTTCCCATTTTTACCTGAAGGGCGTGCTGTTGAAGATATAAAATCTGAGAATTTCGCTCTCCATAAATTTCTAGAACAGTCCAGAACATTCGAGTGTATTCGAGAGCATTCCACAACATTCCAGAATGTTCCGGGATGTTTTGGAACGTTCGGGAACATCCCGCAACATCCCAGATTATAGTGGAACATTTCACGAAATGATGCTTTCTGTGTGCTAAACTTCGAAATTGCAAAGGAAAAAATGCTACAACCTCAACAAATTACTTCAATACATTGCTCACAACAAACCATTCTTCAATGTCAATTAAAAAAATATTACGATGTTATCATGGACCGGATCAACAACACTGGCAGAATTATTTACTTGAACGCACCAGGCGGCACCGGAAAAACGTTTCTAATAAATCTATTGCTGGAATAAATATGTGCTAAACAAAACATCACTCTTGCACTGGCATCATCCCGCATTGCAGCCACAGTTACAAAAGAAAGACGAACTGTCTATTCGGCCTTACAACTACCGTTGAATATAGCCGAAGAACAATTCACGGTATGTAAAATCTGAAGAGGATCTGGCCTGGGTGAACTTCTATAGCAAGCTAAAATTATCTTCTGAGACAAATGCGCAATGGCACATAAAATGTCACTCNAACGATCCTTCCCTAAAAGTCGGCTTACTTACAAACATGTTTCTCCATAAATTTAATTTATTTAGACTCTTAACTAATAATTTCCAACAATGCATTTGTAATTAATTAATCAAATGGAAAATGTATTATAGCGTTATACCAGAAATCCTACCGCTTAAACTTCACGAATTCAACGTCGACAGTACGTAAACAAATGTTAAACGTTCTACCTTACAGTTCGGATCGGGCGAAAAAGCTGACATTGCTTATGAATAATATCATACATAAATACTCTGAAAATTAACTTATTTTGAATTGATACTAATTACGAATATAGCGTTCACAATTTGATCCGAAATTAACAGAAATCCAGTTTTCTGCAACGGATCCTGTTCGCCATTGCGGTATAATTTATAACTATTGCTCGCTCAGGGGTAGACGTTTTTGATTACGACGATGTTGACGAAGTTCTAATGCTTTTAACAAGCCTGAAGCGTATTGCGACTATTTAGTCCATGGAAAAACATGACTTCTGCTTACTGATCAGCAACATGTATGACAAATACAAAAAATATTTTCCAAAGAAGTTTTTAAAAATGCTGGAGATGGAATGTGGAACGTCTTTTGATATCATTTGAGTATTAAGGAATGAATCGTCTGTTGTTCGCAACAGTTTAAAGATAAGCCTGTTTTTGAATTGGTTAAGTTTATGAGTGATAATAAGACTAAAAAAGGCGTATAATCTTGATGCATTGATTGGCACAATCCCTACTATCACTGTTACAGCTGAAAAAATATTTTCTGCATTGCGAAGGATAAAAACGTATTGCAGGTCAACAGAAGGACAAGAAAGGTTATCTTCGCTGGCAGTGATGTCAATGTTGAAAGCTTTACTTGATGACTTAAAAATTCGACGCAAGTAAGCTTTCTATTATTTCACTTACATCAAATTTATGTTTATATAGGGAATGTGTGCGTGTAGATATAATGGGTTTTATCAGAGTTTATACTTTTTTATTCGCACCGAATAACGTTTTTGATATTGTTTAGTTCTTATTATTCCTCTCGTAACTTTCAATATATCCAAAAACTTTGGTAGAAAAGATTTACTGTGATAAAACTACTTGCACACAACCAGTAGTGACTGAATATGAACAGTCACGTTGATGATGAGAACAGAATATGTTACCGTTAAAGAATTAAATGCCGTTATTCTACAAAATAACTTATAATAATTTCCCTGGTTAAGGTAAAGTGTGAAATGGATAAAAAATTACATAGTTCGACTAGTTATTCTATGGTATAGCTACATATTCTATGAATAAACTAATCAGTAGTTATAATATAAAATAGAAAAAATATAACAAATGCACGTTAAACTTGTCAAATTAATTATTGTATTCAATATAATAAATAAATACTGTAAATTTATGAATGATTTTTATTTATTAGAACAAGGAGTGCCGGAGTAACATTTACAATTGCTGAGAACATTATTATTATTTTTTTGTTTTCAGACAAGCACAATCTTTCTTGTTACACATTTTTTTCATGAGCATTTTTAGAAGTCCAGACACTTTGGGTTATAGAGACATTTCTGAGAGGTATCTCAATGATCAGCATTTGCTCAACTCATATTCATTTTTGTTTACAGACATTATGTTTGAGGCGTTAATTTCTTGTTACCAATCGATAAAATCTTTGACTAGCTTTTTTCATAACAACAGCAAAAATTGATCTGACGTCTCCTCGTCTTCTGTCAAAATCAGGGGCCTAAATACAAACAGTCACTTTTACAGGTGTCTCAGAATGTCATTTTTCTGACATTATTTTTATTTTCATTGCTTAAATTTCCAAAATTTCATTGGCTTCTCTTCAGGATTACTGTTGTCAGTCACTCTAACTGTCATCATTTCTGGTATAAATCGAAATGACTTTTCATCAGTTAGCGTAGGACTTTTGTCTTTTGCAATACGCTGATTTCGAAGGGTTTCCTCCAAAACCACTGTATAAAAATAATTTTAAAAAATTTCATAACAAAAATTTTACAATTGTCTCAGCACTGAGCAAAAGCAGATAGATGGAACACAACTGATAGCTTGATTACACACTCCGAAGCTCGATACGTAAATACTTAACCAAACAATCCGTTTAATCGAGTTGTAAATCCACTATTATTAATGATTAGCTACTATATAATATTATAATAATATAATTAATAATTATTAATTAACATAAAAGAACTCGCTTGGTGTGTAGTATCTTTAGTACTAAATTCATTAGCATATAATCATTAATAATAGCATATTTTTAAGGCGATCATTTGGTGAAACCGATAACTTCAACGGGCAAAAACACTGGTTGGCATAGGTTCAATTGTTTATCTTCACCATCGATATCATTCCCAGGTCATTAAAAACTAACACAATTTTCATTCCACACTTTAACGAAGCGGGGATCGTTATTCAATGTAATTCATAGTTAGGGTATGCAAGGGTAAAAAGTTATACACTTTAACGGGTCTGTTTAAATATTCGATGAAATAACCAGGTATTCTCTAGAATAACGAATTATAAACTTTAACGGTAACAAAATTGACAAAATTATTAACTTAACTATCATTTAATTCAACTATAAATATTTTGTACTTATTACTGTTATTTCTACACCAAGAAAGTAAGCAGATAATACGTTTATTAATATTTCATACAACACAATTATTAACATTAAAATTGTTTATTAGTACAAACGATTTTATACGGAAAAGTAAAAATAAAAGAATATAATTCAAGTTTTGAAGCGACTCGTCAATCTTCGTTTGAACAATTAAAGTGTAAGTTTTTTACAATAATTTGATAGTTATGTTTGTAATCAGTAGACTGTAAGTGAAGATTTTGTTCTTTAGCATTATACAAGACTCTTTCAAATCTGTATAGANATTAACACGCGTAATGCTTAGCACGCGCTGCGATTATCATTCCGTAAGCACGTTTTTTATTGTCGCATAAACAATAAAGTTTAAGAATACTTGTTCAACTATTGTTGGAATTCTTTATTCGAGTGAAATAAGTTATCGCAAGCGATTTTTTCAGAAAAATGGATGTTAATAGTAAGTTAAATTCTTTTTAATGTATAATTATATTATATCTTTTATAACCTGTTGGCAATGAATACAAAGACACGCATTAAATAGAAATTTTTTACAAAATATTTAAATATCCCAATAAAAATATTATACGATGAAACGATATTTAACTTTGCATTCATTTCTTGTCGAAGACAATTACAGCATTAAACGTATTTTCTGCGAATAAATAAAAATTTGTTATTTTAATTCTGCAACTTTTTTTAAAATTTAAATATTCGGTTCCATTAAGATGAATAAAAAGAAACAAACAGAAATTACAAAAGCACTTTTACAATAAGATAAGATATTCAAAAATAAAATTGAATTTCTGTGTTTATTGTGTTTACTTTTATTCTCTAGAATGTGAAAATAAAGTGAACGTTAATAACTCAAAAGAAGAAGTTTCGAATTATAAAAAGGAAATCACCGTAGAAAAATCGGTCGAGACCATAGTGCATATAATTATGGATCTATCGGCACGCAAAAAAAGAGAAGAAGCAAAATCGTCTTCTTCTGTAAGTTACAATTCAATGCAAATAATTGAAAATAATTTAAAAATTTTTATTATTTAAAAGTTTACAACTTAAAAACCCACGANTGCTGTCCTGTATGAAACATCTGTATGAAATGTCTGTCAGTTGGCTTTCACCCTTTCGAAATGTCAAATTAAATCACGAAATTACAAACTTCACTTGAGCGCATTAATTAAATAGATCGTGAAAACTCGCGAATGGTGTTTTAATTCATCTGCCAACCAACAAAAGCGCTAAATGCGAGGCTAATCTTTGAAAGCCTTTTGTCTTGCAAACAGATTACTATGACACACACTCACGCAATACAATGAAGTAAAATATATTGATCAGCAGTCTATTCTTTTCGATAAATAAAATTGTGTAAGTTTGCCTAGCTAACGTCGAATCGACTGGAATGTTCCCGACGAATTTTGACATGACCTTTCTGTGATTAATTAGAGTTATGTTTTATGTTTTATTTTTATTAATTTTAATTCTTACTACGTATTGAGCATCGTTATTTCACTAATAAGAATCAATAAGAGTTTCGGATTCATTTTACTGTTAAATAAGCTTAATTTCTATTCGTAAATTCTAAGGATTATTTTGAGCAATCTCGTAAACATAAACGAAAACAATCTTCGAAATTCTAACATATATTATTTGTGCAGTTTCTTTAAAACATTCTGCATTGTAGTGTAATACTAAACACGTATATATTGTTCTTAATTAATTACCTGTTCAAATTCAAACGATGACCATAGTAGAGATATTCCGAACAATTTTATAGCCATAACGCCTATATATTTAGCAGTGTGAAAATTTTCTTCACACACCGGATTGGGGGATATGTTGGCTATAAACTGAATATATCTCTGCCAATTTTCTGGATGATGAGTAATTTTGGACGACAATCCAAATCTGTGAAGGCAATTGAGATGAGCGGAATCTGCTGCATTTTCCAACATTTCCTGCAGTACACCAATAAAAACCATAAATAATACATTTATTCATATGTTATGGTGTTAGTTATAAATACCTGAATGTGGCTGTTTATAACGTGTTCGCTACGACCTATGTACGACATTAGTCGGTTCTCTATTTCTGGTATAACTGGAGGTTTCCACAGAGGAGGTTTGCTTTCTGCATGATGCCACACGTAAATAAATCCGTTCTGTTCGATGGTTTCCCAACTTTTTATTTTAGCCACTTCTGGAACTAAATGTAAATACATTTTTACTGTGTGTTCTTTTTAATATTATTCCAAAATGATAATACATTTTTTCAGCATTGGAAAAATATAAGAGTATGGTGCATTTGTTCCATGGCAAAGTCTATAGTAAAATCGATTAATTAGTTTAATGAGACTCACATGTAAACCCCACTACACTTTTGCAGTAATAGTTAAAACTTTCTCGCTGTCGATCGCAAAGGTAAAAAGGTGAATTATTATATGATAAAAAGAGATTAATTAAGAGTTTGAAAATCTAAACGCATTGCATAATTTAATGCAAAATCCGTCGAGAAAACTTTGCTTAGTACATGTGTAACGGCAATGCCATTAGCAGCAGAAAACGACATACACAATTGAAACTTCTAATGTAATTTGCACATAGCATATCAAGCATCTTCTATTTGAATCTTCTTACTCAGTTTGTCAATACAACGCAGTGCTAAACTGTACTACAGCGATCCAGCCTCTGCGAGGAATGCTAAAGTAATATCTAGTTACTCATCCCAAATACCAGACTAGTTTTTTATCGTAAATCCTACCTAAATTCTGTATTTCGCATATGTGTGACGCACTTCTCAGCGTTATTCATTACTGTTTCAGAGATAAATGCCTAGTTAATTTATACGATATACTCTATCACTTGTAGTGTAACCTGGCGTAAATTAATCACTACGCTGCACACATATAATCGCAGTGCATAAATTCTACGTGTGACAGTTGCAAGTAGCAGTTGAATAGGTGCCTCCTGTTAAGTATTTGACATAATATTTCATGTATTTGTCTATGTTGTATTAGTTTTCTAATATAAGTATGCTTATATTTTAAAGTAAAAAATATCAGTCCGACCTGGACTGTGCTATCGATTTTAGTCAAGCAACTCCTTATATTGAAAATCGTCTCGTACACTATGGTGTTGGTTTAGTTATAAAATGCTTGCGGAAACTACGTGCTTTTTATCTTGTTTCCCCGTGTAGTCCAATCAATAATTTCGCAATGTATTCCATGCATAAAAGACATGATCATAGTGCGATGCAAATTGCTGTTTCATTAACTTTTCAATGCAGCCACTTTAATAGCGATGTTGACAATGTCCAATGCTATGTGATTTGTCATATTAAAACGTTACATTGCATTTTGATCTCGGAATTCTGACGCAAAACAACTGCCTTAATTACAATGATAATTTTGTTGAATAAATTAATATATTCAATTCTAATTATCGTAGTAAAACTATTGCACCATATTCATATTTTCTTGCAATGCGAAGAAACTCAATTACGTGTAAGAATAAGTATAGATGTATTAAATAAACATTTTTTAATAGTTCTCACTTTTTTCGGCGTAAGGTATTTTCACGCAAGTACCATCTTTTCCAGTAAATCGCCATCCGTGAAAAGGACATTCGATGCAATCCTCGTGAACTTTGCCATCGGTTTCTAAATGAGCGCCCAAATGAGGGCAATAAGCATCTAAAACAAAACATGTTCCTGTTTTTCCACGAAATACAACAAATTGCTGACCTGTAAAATAATTTAAATGATTTCTAATTATAAACTTTTTCAAATTTATTAGAATTGATTTATAAAAGTACCTCTTGTAAATAGAAACGGTGTATCTTTACAATCAATGCATTTACTCATTTATAACGCACATTCTAATAAGTAAGCTGTATGCTTACAAATATGTGTAGAAATTATACTAAAGCCATTGCTATTGAGACGTTTAAAAAAAACGCCTAAAACTGCATGTAGGCAGTAAATAGTAAGAAAATTTATGCCCAATTTATATGGTAAAAAAACAGAAATTTCGTTTTTGAATACGAACCAAATTGTCAATTACAATGTGTATTATCGGAGTTTTTTCCTTGAAAATCTTATTTTATTTGCAAGTAAAACACGATTTCTTGCACATGTAATGCGTATTCGATACGCCGAATGTGATTGCATAATATTAATAAAATTAGACGTCAGTTTTTCGAAGAGCACAACGAACAGCCCAAACATAATCCGATAGCAACCTTGTATGGTCCTTAAAAATTAGTACGTTAAACATTTTAATAAAATTTCATTCTGTCATTAAAATATACAAATAAGTTCCAGATAACTCAAAAAATGTACTGCAAATAAGTTCATAAGAATTCACTATTTTTTAAAAATTTCATCTAACATTTTCTATTTTTTTGTACCATACAGAAATTTCCAGACAACGTCGTATGTAGTGGTAAAGATGATAAGTAAAAATCGTATCACGTTAGGTATACATAGAATCAGGATGTTGCATGCTAATTGTCAGCGACAAAATATACGTCGTTCCATTATTCAGAATAACTAATACTCTTAAATTAATCGCCATAGACCAATGTAATGTTTTAATATCTTACCTAGGGCAGTAACAGGCATGCACTTCCCAACAGGTAGATCTCTGGATTCCAACAAAGGTATCCATCCATTTGGATACGCGGGAGGACATCCTTTCGTTCTTCTTAATATATTTGTTTCTTTTAATAACTGCATTCGTTTTGTACGTAATTTCCTGGCATTCGTTCCTCCTTCGTTATAACGATTATCTTTCAAATCCTGCATCGATAAACATTACTGTTAAAATGTAAATAATATTTTGAAATTAAATCTTTCTCGATGTTTACTTACAACTACATCGTTAACAGTTGAAAACGAAAAGTAGACAATAAGGATAAAAACAAAAATTAAAATCAGCAGATACGGTTTATTTATAATCGTTGTACTGATGAATTGAAACAAGTTCAGAAACCAGGAACATTTCCATAAATCCTCTGCTACACTGTCGTATACAAAGCTGTACATTTTTTGAATTATAATCTTGGATATATCTGAAATAAAAAATTCAATTATATTATTTAATAATTTTTTGATTTACTATATCTCTCATACTGTACTTTTATCGTGTACTAATTAATATGTACAGAGTTAAGCATCTTTAATGCGAACATTTTGGGTGTTTTGTACGTATGAGATACTTGTTTGAACGTATATATGTGTTTTAATCGTATGAGAGATACGTTTAAAACACACAAAACACATGAAATATACGTTTACAATAAACGTATTTCGTGTTATTCTTGAAATTTTGTCATGTTTTAGGTTTTTTTTTCATCGGGTAAAAAATCGTTTGTCTGTCCTCTTGGGATCCAATACTGAAAAAAACTATTTTTTTTATTGAAGTTTTGTTATGCTTTTGACCTTTAGTTGTCACTTATTAGTAAATTGCCATTTTTATAAAATTTTTTTGTTTTGGTCATTAAAAAATGGTACGTGTCATATATGACACAATGGCTTTCTACCTATACAAAATGCAAACTTGTCCGTTCGTGTAAAAATGGTTTATTTGACTGTTTTTGTATATTATTTGACATTTTATATTTACATATGATATGCTTTGAAACAAATTTTATTTTACCAAGGCACAGATGTATTTTGCAGTTGATACAGTACACTGTAGCTCATACACTTTTACATTCTTCCATTGGGCAGTGGAAATTTTTGCAATTTACTATGATTTCTAGCATGTGTTTTGCTTCACTTTTGCATTGTATTTCACTGGGATGCAAAGTTTAAGTATTTTTTGTATGATTTTCTTTGTTTTTCATCATTTTTATTGATCCCTTTTTTCTTATTGCCTGTACTGTCTGAATGTGATAGCGATTTTAACACTTTTTTTAAATTTGTTCTTTGAGCAGACTAATGACTTACACTCTCCAGGACAGTCTGCTCAAAGAATAAATGTTTGGTCATGTCTGTATCACTGAACCAGCCTTTCAGTTCAGACAAATTTCTATCAATATCATGTGTCCTATCATGTTTCTTTTTTATTTTCGCTGTTGACAATGATAAATTAAAACTACATCATTGACATTTATTATAAATATGTAATTTATGATATTAATAATTTATAAATTTTTAACAAAAAAAAAACCTCGCAGACCAAAAAAATAAGTAGACAAAAACAAATCACAGAAATTTGTAATAAATAAAAAAATGATTATATTTTATTAATAAATTAATTGAATAAAAAATGATAATAAATAATAGAATACATATTGCGGTACTAATAACCAAATATCTATAAAAGTAAATAACTTGCAAATACGAAAACAGTTCATACACTGTAATGTAATTATTGTAACATAGAGACCCAATGTGTCGTATAAGACACGTTGAAAAATTAGCTCATCTCATGAAATATTGTTATTAATATAGTTTTTAAAAAATACTCTTATATAATCTTAGAAGTCTTCTCAACAAAACCATGTATAAATTGTAAAGTTATAATCAATAGAAATAGAGAAAACTGAATACTAACATCAAGCAGTCATGCTTATGATTACTTCCAATAACATGTGCTCAGACAACCACTTATATTTTCCTTTGTTTCTGTCACAGTGGAACGCATGTGGTCTAATAAGCTTCACTAAACTCTAATGACAAAATGTATAACTAATACAATTGTTTAGCAAGCAAAAAAACAGAGCTGCTTCTTATTCTTTGGAAGGAAAATTGCGTGTCATATACGACACTTGGCATCCCAAGAGGCTATATAACATTTTTTATATAAACTATAATAAATGACTATATTCGAGTTGCATTAAGCTATATAGAGTTTGTCACTTGTAATTTATATAAAATAAATCAATAAAGCGTTCTACTTATCATAATTTAATAAGACAAAATAATAGGCATTTGTGAACCAGAGGGGAGGTCAGAAGTCTCCCGCCTCTGTCAATAGTCAGGATGATGCGTCAGGCGACTGGAGGGAGTGTTGCTTGGGGTCGACGATAAGGTGAAGGGCGTGATCGAGTAAAGGAGTCTACCATATTTAATTAAACAATATAACAACTATTTATTAAAAGAAGCAAAGTGACAAAAAGACTACACAAATAGCGTTTCTAATCGCTTATTGCCTCGAAAAAGTTTTCCCGCTTTTCATACCTCTTTGAATGTTCCATTTGTCGATGTAATCCGTAATGGCACTTAATTGTCCAAAGGTAAGTGGGTTTTATCCAATCGAGCACAATATTACAAAGTTCGCGACTTTGGCGATGATCGTTTATCGTCGGTCGTAGATCGGAATTCGGCGGGTTCGGAGAATCGGCGCAATGTCGTCGGTCCAGCGTTCGGTAATAGACTCCTCCGAGAGGGGTAAGAACTGTCTTTTATAGGTTTTTGTGGGGAATTTCCACCACGTGATTGGATGTTAATAAGTTAAAGGTTATAGGTGTTCCAGGGACTTAAAACAAATGACGAAAGTTGGACGTTATCTGTAAACTTTTCTGCAAGATGAGCTGCAAGTTCTGCAGAGAACAATAGATGTTGATAGTTATGACAGGAAGGTTTACACATTCCCGGCTAAGATCGGTTTTTTTCTCCGATCCGTTACATAAACGAAAGTAAATTAATTAAAATTTTAGTTAATAAAAGACCGTAAATTTCGCTACAAAAATTCCGGATCTCACACATTCATAAATTAGTTACAAAAGTCAGTTCGTGTACTTCGTGCTAACTGTAAAATGATTATAAAGACTAACGCCTTTAATAAACTTTACACTTAATAATCTAATAAAAATATTTAAGGAATATAATTCGAGATATTAGAGAGGTTGCTGCCGAAATTTTCAACGCAAAAACGTGTACGTCACACGTTCAGCGCCACCTTCCTCTAAGCTTACAAGTTTGACAATGGCGTGTGAAACGTCGAGCATGATTACACTGACGTTCCAAACAGCATTGTGAAATTTCTAGGCTTACAAGAAGGCGGCGCTGAACGTCTGACGTACACGTTTTTGCGTTGAAAACTACGGCACCAACTTCTCTAGTTACTGTATGAATAGATGTTAGTGTGAAATTCGTAGTTCATATAATTTCGTAAAAAAAAGTAATCCTTTAAATTTTTAATACATGTAAATAAAAAATTCTTTTAACTAAAAGAATTTGACCCTACAAAAACAAAATGTAAAACACATAAGAAAATTATAACTTTTTCCATTTAACTATAAACATTTTCACGATCAATCCGTGTATAGTTTACAAGTATCGACAAAATTCGTCATATTGTTGTCATTCTAACACCAACTTTAACCTCACACCTGCGAAAACAATTGGTCATCTGACGAATTTTCCCACCAAAAATGTATAAAAGCCATCTTCTTTCCCTTCTCGGGAGAGTCACCCATCGATCGACCAAGACGGACCTTCACTTTTCGTTGACTTACTGTACGACACTAATTAGAAGACCTTGTGCCACAACTCGCACCACCTTTCTGAAATTAAAGCCGGAGTATCCATCCGATACTATCACAGAAATATGAAATATTATTGTAAACTCTCTCTCTCTCGTCCGCGGAGCTTTGTAACATTTTCATTTAGTTATCGCGTTAAATAAACCGTTGTTTTGTTTTTAAATAGTGTCGTTACTCGACTTTGCCCACGCCTTATCGTCGACTCCTCTGGCTCTCCTCCACTCGCGTAACGCGTAACTGAACGTTACTACCATCCCTGACAAGAAAGTAAGTCACCGACCTGTGGCCGAAAGGAGAGGACTCCTCTTCCCTCCCGGTGGCTCACATTAGTGTGTCCATGTGCGTGTGCGTGTACGTGTGAAAAACGATTTTGTTCACCAAATTTGAAAGCTTTGCTGTTTGTCAAAATTTTATAAAATTTCGCGGGATTGATTGGTTGGTTGGTGTTTTCGGTCCACATAACCCAAGCTGTGCCATGTCAAGTAGTCATTTTGTCTATATATATAACACAAAATAACAACAAAAAAAATTAACAACTGTATAAACCGATAAAATTATTGAAAAAACAAACAACAATATACGTAAAAGTAAAAGGTAAATAAATAATTATATCTCTTTATGCATATTAATGACTTTCAGGAAGTCTAGTAAGTTGTCAAAATTTGGCCTTCAGCCTAAAACCTCTGTCAGACTTGCATTTTCAAAACACTCTCTATGCATCGTCTCGAAGGCAAAGCAATCGCATAGTATGTGGTTTACACTTAGAGAGCTGTTGCAATGCTGGCATACTGGCTGGTCATCACCCTTCAAAAGATATTGATGAATCAGTGGAGTATATCCAAATTTCCAGACGAGTAAGAACAACCTCAGATCTCCTATCATACTGTTTATTATACGTTCAATTACTTATCAAGAGTTTGATCTTGTGTAGTTTATTGTGGACTTGTGTGTTCCACACATTTTGCCATCTATCTGCTAATCGCTTTTTAGCAACTAGCTTCAAATTGCACCCTTCAATAAACATTATATGCTGTAAAGGACTTGCTGACTTCGCAGCTACGTAAGCTTGTTTATTTTTTTTATACCTATATGGCTTGGGAACCAACAAAACTTTACAAAAAAAATTATTTATAGTTTCTAAACAGGGCAAATCAGTTTACGAATTTTAATTACGACAGAGAGAAAACTGGGTTTACGCGAAATCAAAGTTTGAAGTTCACTAACTGAGTCATTGTAAATCATACAGCAACGAGGGCATTTTCTGATTACATACTTTAAGGCTAGGGAAATAGCCTTCAGCTCTGCAGTAAAGATAGAAGAATTCGGCTCGATTTGTTCTGCCACGATGTCATTCCAACAGAAAAAAGCTGAGGCTAACGTAGTCATCCGATTTAGATCTATCAGTATAAATAGGAATTAAATTCCTGTCACAGTGTTGAATTTCTGCTAAGCGCTATCTGTAGATGTAATCCGAAGTGGATTCCTTAGTAAAGTGCTTTAATCTAAGGTCGACATTTATCAAAGACAGAGATATGAGAAAATCTCAAGGTTATACATGGTGTTTATAAATGAATAAATAAATGGTGCGGCTTTAAAAATTAATAATAAATCTATATATTACTTTATATTAGCAAACCTTACTGCATAAGCAGCGGCAAATGTCTAACTTCTTTATGCATTAATCACAATCGTTCAATATGTGCACCCATAATCACACGACACACATCGACACACGACACTACACGGTAATCAAACTCTTCCCATACGCGGTGTAGCATGTCCTCCGGGATAATCTGTAGTGCATGCTTTATCCAATCACACAGTTCCTCAAAAAACAAAGGTATTGACGGTACATAAACTCAATCTTTAACAAACTCCCACAAAAAGAAATGGCAGGGTGTTAAATCTGGCGAACAGGTTGGACAGGGGAGCAGGTTGTGGCTGCTGTTGCACCACGTCCAAATTAGCGTTGGTGAAGAACACGATTAAGAAGCTCGCTTACATTCCTTTGAAAATGGGGCAGAGCACAGTTCAGTTGCAAAATGTAGTCATCATATAAGGTGATAAATAGATTTGTTATTAATTTTTAAAACGCACCATTCATTTATAAACACCGTGTATATCGAAAAATTACAAACAAGATTTAATGCTAATTATTTAATTATAAAGTTTATACACGAATTTATTACTTAAAACATAAAATAGATAGTTGAAGCATTTGATAATATGAAAATATTCTTACCTGATCTAAACCATTTAAACTCGAATTTATTTCTGAGGTTCAAAATTAGAGTTTGAACTTAGAACTTCCAGTTTTTGTCTCGGAAAAGGTCAGATCTGGCCAATTAAAAATTACTGTTGCGGAATGTACAACTAAAGTTCCATAAGTCAAGGATTAGATCAACGATAACCACATTATTAATTACTTATTTTCTATTGAAATGCCCCTAGAAACTAGCAATTTTTTATTGTGGAATCTTCATAAATTTGGATTGCAATTTTTAATCATATTTTTATTTTATTTTATTTAACATATACATTTTTCAGAAAATTATGTCGTGTTGCCCCGTACATTGTGTTTTTCCTATAACAATAGATTCGTACCGGCAATCTATCATTTCAATGCTGTCATTATTAAAAATTCTTTTTATCGTAACTCTTCCGTTTAAAAAATGCTTTCAGTCTCGGTTTTTAGTTAGCACTTTCTGCAGTGAATAATCGTGGAGCTGTTAATACACGTAATTTCTACACTGAATGTTTTTCGCATAAACGATTGACTTCGTCACTTCTGTCGTCGTTTTTGCATCAGTTACACCTAATGCAGGAAATCCGTTCTTGCATTTTCGATACAATCTGAATCGTTCAATATTTCTTGAATTTACAATCTTTAGTATCGTTTGATTTACTGTAAGCTGTGAACTGTTTTTCTCACGCTTTATCTACTCTATTAATTTGTATTGTGTTAGACACATGCAAATCTTCTAATAAAAAATTTTCTTTTCTATCATCACTAAAACTTTCTATAGTTTTCTTCGGCGTTAATCTGTGGAATTTAAAAGCACAAGTTTTACGTTAGTCATTACACTAATACTGGCGCGGGCTAGGAATGTCGACCAACAAACTTCAAAAAGAAATAAGACAACAGTCGGTCCATAAAAACGTGTAATAATACCATTAACTATGAAAGAAATTTTTGGTTGAAAGGTACTGAAAGCTTCCCTAATCAATCTGAAAGAGGTGTTGTGTTGCAAAAGCAATTATAATGCTGGAGTAAGTGGTAGTCCTTTCGATGGTCTCGCATTTAACTCTTAAATCATCGTTTTCTCGAATTTGTCAGCTGGAAAACGGAACGATCTTACATCTTTGGCTGACGAATTTTTACAATTCGGTGCTAAATACCAAACAACTAAAAATAATAGATAACAATAAATTCGACTAATTGAGATCGAAGAAAACAAATAACCAAATCTGCCTTAGAATCAGAGTACACACAACTTCAACGTAATCAACAAGACGACTGCCGCGATGCATCACCTCATCGTGTCCAAAGCTTTTGTTTACAAATATTGTCCGGTAAAGTTAAGCAATCCGTTGCTATATTATTTATTTATAGTAATTCGAACACAAATGAATTATTGTATTCAATTTGACACTTGGCAAATTTCATTTTATTTACTTGATACGTATTCGTCATATTTGTACACGTTTCGGATATTTTGTACCCCTCCTCAGCCAACTAAATTAAAAGTTCACGAGTTACAACAATATAAAACGTATATATAAAGGTCGAGTATTTTAAAACATACCTTTAAATTACAGATGACTAAAAGTTAAAATCAAGTTATTTTGATAGTAATTCGTAAATAAAAATTAATTTAATTAAGAATAAAAGTAATTATAAAAATATTTTGCATGTTCTATAATAAATTCTATTATAAATTTTGGTCGAAGATTTAATTTGCTTGTAGAAAAAATTTCGAAATATTTCAATGTTATATTAATATAATCATATAACATTGAACTTTTTTTTATTTTTTGATTAAGGTCAGCGAAATTTCTAAATATTTATTGCGATAAATATAATCTTAATCTTATTATAAATAACCCGATGATTAATATATAAACCGGATCTAAATGTTTACAAATGATGTAAGATATTTTTTTCATAAGAATTAAATTTAACTTATTTATACGATATATTTGAGAGTTTTAAACGAATTTTGTCAGTAAACAAAGTGTGTTATATTTATTTCATTTGTAATTTAAAGTAATTTTTGTACATTTATGTCTTTTATCAAAATCACAGGGTTTTCACGTGAAACCGTTGATATGTTAGCATCTAACCGATAATAGTAAAGTCAAATTATTAATTGGTTCGAAATGGAAATTATCTGTGTTCGAGATGGAATGGGAGAAGTAAATGAACCTTTATCTTTCATCCGATATCTTGTTTACTAATCAACATAAAATACTTTTATCACACCGTGGAAGTTATCAGAATGTAAGTCGATTTAACATTTATTATTTAACTTCTGTTATATAAACTGTTGTTTGTTTTAGAATGAATATTATTCAGCAGCGTGGCTTGGCCGATAAACTTACTGGAAATATCAAAAGAAGAGAAAATAGTCCTGAGTTAAATTCGGACAAAGATGGAGATGAATTAAACAATTGTATTAAATTCGAAGACATTTTAAATCATTTGTACTTGTTGTGCGCTAGTTACGACATTTCCTCCTTTACGCTTCTCCTGGAAATTTTAATTAGAATGATAACACACTAGAAAAAAACAAGAAACTGAAAAAAAACAGAAGATTGTTGCTTTTCCACTTATAATCACAGTTAAATCAATTATATCATGCTATATTTATTGAATGATTTTTATTTACTTCTGTCTCTGTTGGCACATTATATAAAATTCACACATACGTTTATGGATTTGTTATTAAAATAATTTTAATATATTGTTAGAAATGTAATATCATTATATAATTAAATCGAATCATATAGTTTTAACAAATGTTGAAATTAAATTTATATGTCTTTAACAACTAAACACTACTGAATTTATTTTAATCAAGTGTTTTTTAAATTAATTAAAATAAAATACGATATTGGGAATTTGTAAACTCGGAAAATCTCAGCAAAAGACTACACATTTCATATATTATACAAATACATTGGTAACACGCTGAGATCATTCAGACATAAAGCAAGATGCTGCAACAAAAAATTTGTAATATTTTTCTATTCAACTTTACAATGAGTAAAGATGTAAAAAAAAACAATTCTGGTGTAGTATGCTTTTTAATATACTACGCTAGTTATTATTTTTTGTTTGTAATTTTAACTTAAGGCTATTTGTAGTAATTCACTATACGAACCTAACGAATAACACACCAGAATTAAATACATGAAATAGAAACGTACTACCAGATAAGCCCTGCGTTGTAAGAGCAAAAAGTAACGATAGCAAAGATTAAGATTATTAGATTATAGCCGATCTTTTATGTTTTCACCGGGTGCAAGAGTTAGATCTTTTCTTTTGAGGCTAATTATAGAATTTTTAGATGGGTCTAAGATATGTTTGATTTCTTGCAAAAGTGCAAAGAATCGCATCTAAAATAATACAGTAGAATCTGAGTTCTTCAGAGTAATATGGAACTGTTTCCATCCCTCCAGCAGGAAGGGGATGTACAAAAATCCTTCTCTAGTGTACATTCTCATGCCGTACCTTAACTGTGTACCAAATTTTAACTTTCAACTCTTAACCATTTTGGCTCTGCGCTTATTATTATTATTATTAATCCATCCGGATTATATTATAAGATGATATGTCAGTATTCACAGAACAATTGTGCTGTTTTATGGCGAACATCACTAGTGAGCAAGTGTTTTTTTCTAATGTATTTGAGTTGAAACTCGCTATATTGGGTTCACTTGTCTCTATTCGTATCTCTTTTTTCCTTCTTTCTCTCTTGTTCATTTTCATTTTCTTTTGTTTTAAGTTTTCTGAATAACTGTGCTTATATTCCACAAATGTTAATGTAATGAGAATTAACTTTAATTGGTTATTTTTATTTTTTCTGTCTAGTATAGTATAAGTTGTATGTGCCTATGTTATATTAATAAAGTAGCAACTGTAACTTAACGATAGTTAAAAAGAACGACCACGATCATTCCCTTCGTTTTTTCTTCTGTATATTGTGAATGTTATAACACATAATTGGCTGTTTTTTTCTTTTAGTTTTTTGTCTTGATAACCATTAATCTGTATTACTAAAAGTTTAGAAGGAAAAAACCTTAACATCGTGAAAATTTTTACAACGATAGTTCATAGCATAGAAACCCCAGTGTCGCATTCACACACGTAAGATGCGTAGCTACAAGAGCGCCTGACAGTTAAAAATTGTTTTATGAACAAACAGACAGAACATAAAAAGTATATAAAACATTTTTTTATATTTTGTACTTATAGTTTAAACCAGGGGTGTCCAACCCTCTGCCCGCAGGCCGCATGCGGCCCAAGGCAAGTTCCAATGCGGCCCAATAAACGTGTAAACAAAACCGACGAATTCTTTATTTATTTATTTATTTCAATGGCATAAACTCATAAAAGAAATTTCACAAAGCTGTTAACTTTTATACATATTTTATTTTTGAGTGAAAAGGAAAAAATTTTCAAATACTTGGAGATGTGTGAATAATGAAGAAATAATAAATAAAGCTGAAGTTGGGACTCAAAGGATTATAGACCCAAATTTAAGAAAAGGAGAGAAAGGCCAAAAGATAAAAAGTAGTGAGGAAGGTTGGAAAATTAAGGGTCAATATTTGCATAACAGAAGATCTATTTAAATAGAAAAAGAATCTAGCATCTACTCACTCAGAGTCGAATCATGGGTCTTCTGTTTGATAGATGATCATGTTCTCGTTGGAAGAAGAGTAACGCTATTCCGTTGAGACAAGAGATCATGATAAATTGAGCCATTTCTCCCACGAAAATTGTCGGACCATCTAACCGCAGGAACTTGTGAGGAAATCTTATTATAATAAACGTGATTTTAAATTCTAAACGGAAGTTTACTTTTAACAGTTATCACCATTATCGTTGGTACAAAATTTCCATTTTGCGCATCGTCGTGTTATCAAACTTCGAGGAACTAGACGCCCTATTACTTTAACATAATGACGCCTTGCACTGAAGCAGCCCACCACTGATGTTACTTCGGCCACTTCAATGCAAGGCATCAGGGAAACTGTGCCTATAAAAC